GGACAGAACTCTGCATCCAAAAGAATGTTCTCTGGCTTTATGTCACAGTGAATGATGCAGTCTCTGCACTTTTCATGCAGGTAAACCAAACCTCTAGCTGTTCCTAGCGCAATTTTGTACCTTGTTTCCCAGTCCAGAACCTTCGAATCCTTCTCATGGAAAAGATGTGTATCTAAAGAACCATTTGGCATGTAATCATAGACTAACAACTTCTTTATACCTTCAGAGCAGAACCCTCGAAGCCGAACAAGATTAACATGCTGGATTGTCCCAATCGTGCTGACTTCTGTTCGAAACTGCTTCTCCCCCTGACTGATGCTCTCAAGCTTCTTGACAGCAATGACAGTTGAGTCTGATAATGTCCCTTTGAAAACAGAACCAAAGCCTCCCCCTCCCAGTTTTTCAGAGAAATTCTTTGTGGCATTCTGCAAATCTCTGTATCCAAAAGCCACCAGAGAACCCTCTGCTGCTTTTGCAATTTTGATTGTTCTCTTTCTCTGCCTCAATATTACCAACACGACAAGGGCAAACAGAAGTAACCCCACTGAGCCTCCAATGGCACCAATAATTGCTGCTTTATTGCTTTTCGAACTTGGAAATTCTGAAGCTGCCAGTCTGATATAGATTGTTTTTCCAGTATTATCACCGTCTGCAAGCTGTTGCAAATTCAATAGATCCCCATGCCAAAGCGTACACTCATTGTTCTCGTAACCATAAGCAGTGCAGTTGCAGTCACCAAGGCAGACAGATTCACACTCCTTAATGCTCCCGGCTGTGGCGGTTTGTGGATGCTCAGGCAGTCCCATGTTGGGGCTTTCCCAAAATTTGTCACTCTTTTCATTTGGAAGAGTGGCATTAGGGCACTGAAGTGGGGTTCTCCTCACACATCCACCGGAATAATCACTTAAGTTCCACTCATTAGTCCACTTCGGATCAAACCCTGTCGAGCAATTGCAGAAAGGCAAACCTTTCTCATTGCAGCTACCAAATGCTCCACAAAAAGCATAAACCTCACACTGTCGTCTAGGTTGTGACCAAAACAAATTCCATTGCTTGGTGCTCTCCAACCATGACAGCTGCTTAATCTGTCCTGAAATATCCATAATAAACCTAGATATGATGGAAGAATCATAGAGAGAATACGTGAAATAGCTTTCATTTGCATTGGAAACATAGTTGAAATTGTAGATGTAATTCAATCTCATTTCAGGAACCAAGCTGAAGATCTGTCCATTCCAGGGTCCACTATTCCAGTACCGTTCCGACTTGTTCCAAAGTATGATATACGCATTGGTGCCATTAGGGTCAAGTTCAAGAGAGAAGAGCCCTGGAGCAGGATCTTCTGAATTCCTCCATGAAGTAAGAAGCTGGCTTTTATTAGTCCTCTTGTCCAATATCATCTTCATACCAGGAAGCCATGTATGAGCAGGAAAGTTAAAACTTTCCCATAAATTGGAGGTAGAATTAGGCCCATTTCTCAAAACCAAATTCCCATCATCCCCAAGAACTGCTTCTACTGAACTAGAACCGGCCGTGCTGACGTTCGTAGACCAAATTCGAACTTGGGATTCATTGAAAAGAACCAAATTTCCGTCAGAAATCCTCAAAGCTGAAGAATTTGGATCTCGGACAGGTGTCTCTCTATTTGCAACCCAAACTATGGTCTGTTGAGACACTTTATTGTACCACATGCCTATGTAGTATTTGGAGTTACCTGGTGTGAAGAAACCCAATACAAAATCTCCACCGTTGGAAACAATGGTTTGGTTACCAGAGAGAGATTGGTTGCCGGAAATGGTATCAGCCCCGGAAGAGAAACGAGAGTTGAGAGAGAAACTGATGAAGAAGAGTATACAGAGCACCCACCATGGATTGGTCTTGCCTTCCATGGCTGGAAACAAACAATATCAAGATCAAATTAAGAAAAAACAAGATGGAAAATTGGTTGAACAAGTATCTGAAAACAAGATCAAAAGAGAGAAGGAGTATCAGACTCTCAAATTACTTGAGAAATCGTGACATGATTCAGGACAACCTGAATATTTAACTTTTTGGTGAGCAGTTTTTTACCCATGAAGTCAACCAAAGACGCGTTTTTTTTTTTTTTGGTGCGATACAACTTTGAGTTGACAACATTGTCCCTTGAGTGCGTGGCTATGACTATTAATATTATTGTTATGGTTATTAAAATTTTAAATTTTTATTTTTTAAAATAATAAAG